CCGTGGTGAACATCTTTCACAGCAGGACCTGTTCTCTCAAGCCTTTTCAAACAGCTCCTCCCACAACAATATGCACCCCCCCCCCCAAGCTTTGTTAATACTTCCATCACTGTACCCATGATACTTACTTGCTCACATAGCTGTATTCCTTTACTGGACTCTAAACTCTGAGAGAGCAGGGACTCTTTATTTTCCTGATGTGGGCACTGAACATGGTGATGGAACAAGGCAGGAACCTTATAAATGTTTGGTAAATTAAGTGAAGGTACAAGTCTGACTGTATCCTGTACTGACCAAACCACATCTAAAGAATTGTTTTCAGATCTGGATACCACATTCAAGAAAGGTACTTAGCCTTTATGCCAAATGTTGCAAATGCAAATGCCAAAGAGATCAGGCCAATAATGTCAATGATGACAGGGGCATGGTAACACAATGGCTAATGGCAGATCATGCTCTACTTTTATATGAATCTCTTATATGTGGCCAACTCACTGAAACAGAAATAAAGGGGTGCCTGGGTGGCTCAGTTGGTTAAGCGTCTGACTCTTGATTTCAGCTCAGGTCATGATCCCAGGGTTGTTGAGATTGAGCCCTGCTTCCAGCTGCACGCTGACAGTGCAGAGCCTACTTAAGATTCTCTCTCTCTCTCTCTCTCTCTCTCTCTCTCTCCTCTCTCCTCTCTCTCTCTATGCCCCTCTCCCCTGCTCATGCTCTCTCTCTCTAAAACCAAACAAAATAAATAAAATAAATAAAAATAACACCCTGTACAGACCCTCCAAAACATACTACATGCCTACTAGTGGATATGGGAAGCAAATTTGCAAGCTGCTTTGAACAAAGGGATTTAAGCAAGGGAACAACACAAGAACTGCATTTGTGAAAGAACATTCTGACACAATAAACTAAGGAGCTATTATAATAGTCGCGGCAAGAGATAGAATAGGAGCCTGAACTAAGACAGAAGCAATGGGGTATAGAGCTGGGGGAGGATTTGAAAGATGACCTGGTTAATCCAGTTTTAATAATGAAGTTTACGACTGCATAAACTAATCTGGCAGTCACATTACCAGTTTGTAGGCTCACAGTGATTTTTTTTTAAATAAACTGCTATTAAATCTAATTTTGATAACTTAAATATAGAACTTATTTCTTACATCTTTTGTAGGCAGTATGGTACAAAGTTTAAAGAATACAGACACTGGAGACAAACAGCTTAAATTCAAACCCTGACTTTGCCACTTACTAGTGCTATGTGTCCTTGGATAAGTTACCGACTTCTCTACACTCCAATACTGACCTTAAAGAGTTACTGTAAGTGCAAATGAGTTAATATGTGAAGTGCTTAGATTAGTACCCAGTCCATCTTAAGTGTTGTGTAAGTTTTAGCTTAAATCATTTACTATTTTTCACATTTCAACTTGAAAGTTAGTTTCAGTCGATAGTTTTCAATTGTCTAAATATTTCTACACATTCCAGCTTACAAACATTCACTGTAAGTATGATAGGCACATCTTTTCTATACCTTCATCCAAACTTATGTTCAAACTGTTAAAATATAATCAAGAACAGCCATCCAGAATGCCACAAAAAAATCAACCCCTCTTGATAAATATTGACCCATTATTGATAGTTGTAATATACCTGCATGCAAGCCAGCCCAAAATTTTGTCTTGAAATTACAGGAGAAAATGTTAAATACCTAATTTTAGCACTTAAGACACCTTATCTTTGTAGCATATTCCTGACTATACAGCCTAGAATCTTTTCAAAAATGAATTGTCCAGATATACATCAAAATGTTATGTATTAATTATCTATGGGTAGTCTGAGTTTCTTCCCATTAATCTTTATTTTCTAGATTTCTATAATAAACTTGTAATGATTTTAGTTTAAATAAAATCAAGGCAGACAGAGCTTAAAGAAAACAAAGAATTGGGGCGCCTGGGTGGCTTAGTCGGTTAAGCATCCAACTTTCGCTTAGGTCATGATATCGCGGTTCGTGGGTTTGAGCCCCGCGTCGAGCTCTGTGCTGACTGCCAGCTCAGAGTCTGGAGCCTATTTCAGAGTCTGTATCTCCTCTCTCTGACCCTCTCCTGCTCACGCTGTCTCTCTCTCTCTCTCTCCCCCCTAGAAATAAATAAAAATTAAAAAAAAAAATTATAAAAAAAAGAAAACAAAGAATTATTATCAGCATAACTTACTTAGTGTACACAAGTGGCTTATAGGGGATACTGTGTTCTCATCCTTTGCTCAGTTTTAGAATTTCACCAGGGATCATAGTCAAAGTTTCCAATGATACCCTCAAACCCATGTGACCTAGAGGTTAAGTCCAGATAAATCAAGCAACTCTAGGGGCACCTGTGTGGCTCAATTGGTTAAGCATCTAACTCTTGATTTTGACTCAGGTCACGATCTCATGATATGTGAGTTCAAGCCCCACATAGGGCTCTGCTATCAGCATAGAGCCCACTTCGAATCCTCTCTCCCCCTCTCTCTCTGACCCTTCCCACCTCGCACACACACACTCTCTCTCTCTCTCTCAAAAATAACTTAAAAAAAAAAAAAAATCTCTACAGAGAGAATTAGCTGACCGTATCTTCAAAATATGTCCAAAATCCATTACCTTCTGGCTCTGCACCCTATGACCCTAGTCCAAGCCATCATCCTCCCTAGACTATACTGATCTCTGCAAAAGCTTCTTAACAGGTCTCTATGCTTCACATTACTCCTCTTCCCCACCTCCCTCCACCTTCCAGTCTATTCTCCCACAGCAACCGGTCTAAGCCTCTCAAAAATTAAGTCAGCTTGGGGCACTTAGGTGGCTCTGTCAGTTGAGCATTCGACTTTGGCTCAGGTCATGATCTCACGGTCTGCATTGGGCTCTCTGCTGTCAGCGTGGAGCCTTCTTGGGATTATCTGTCCCTCTCTCTCTGCCCCTTTCCCACTCACATGCTCTCTCTCATAAAAATTAAAAAAAAAAACAAAAAACATAAGCCAGCTCTTGTCACTCTATTCTTGATTCTCCAGTGCCTCCCTCATCTCACTTAGAATAAAATGCACTCCAAAGGTCTTTCCCTAGCTCTGAGCACCTACCTGATCTGGGCCCCACTGCTTCTCTGCCCTTACTCCTAGTACTCTTTCCCTACCACTCCACTGTAGCCACACTGGCCTCCTTATCAAGGACATGACGAGTCATACTCATACATCAAGGCTTTTACATTTGCTCTTCCCTGTCTGGGATGTTTTTTCCCAGACATCCCTGGCTGGATTCCTCACCTCTTTCAGAACAAGGCTTAAACTGTCACCTCATCAGAGGCCTTCCCTGATCTCCTTACATAAAAAGGAGCAACACCCCCAGGCTCCCTATCACTTGACTACCTTACCTGCTTTGGTTCTTCTGAGCATGTACCATCTAGTAGACAGTATTTATACACATACTTGTTTATTTATATCTAGTTATTCTTTTTTATTTTATAACTTTTCTACACTTTAGGATATAACCCTTGAGAGCAAGGACTTTTTCTGTTTAGTGTTATATTAGCATTTTGTTTAGAGCTGGTTAGCTCTAAGAATTGTGCTAAGCATATAGTAAGTGGTCAATTTTTATCATAACATAAGCCCCAGTATATAAAATACACTGTGTATAATAGGTACGTGTAATGAGTTTTGTTGAAGAAAATGATTATCCGCCCTGTCAAATTCATGAAGTATATTAGAAAACATTGGTGCTTCTTAACTATAGAGAACAAACTGAGGATTGCTGGAGGGGAGGTGGGAAGAGATGGGTTAAATGAGTGAAAAGTACTAAGGAGGACACTATTGTGATAAGCACTGGGTGTCATATGTAAATGAAGAATCACTAAACTCTACTCCTGAAAATAATATTACACTATATGTCAACTAACTAAAATTTAAATAAAAACTTGAGACATAAAAAATATTGGTGCTTCAATAAAAAGAGACTATAACACCATTAGAAAGATCAATGAACAAATGATTGTTCACACAAGCCAACCAGAAATGAGTATCATAACCCAGTTCCCTGAGGTATGAAAATGCCCCAGGGAGAGGAACAGAATAAGAATCCTGAACCAGTTAGTAGGGCAAGAGTTTGCTTCAAAGTTTCCCACCCCTTTAAGAAGAGCCTGAGCTATGTCTAATGTGCCCTTTTCCCAGGAGGGATCACCCTGGCCTTGCTGAGATTCCTATGTCCCACTACTACTATCCCTAGAACCCAGTTCCCAGACTCATTCTGCAGCTGCCCCATTGCTTTGACTGTCCCAAGAACTTTTCTCTATTATCCAGCTACCATTGGTGACCAAGACCACTAGGTAAGGGCCTCTGGCCATACCCTCCACGAGCTGCTTCTATTTCATTAGTGCTCTCCACCTTGGTCAACAACAACCAATAAAATAACTGGCACACAGAATCCAGATGGGCTAGGAAATGGATAAAGTTGTCAATCAAAAGCGTTTTTCATTTGTTTATTTTGCTTTGCTTTTTAAACATTAAGTCACTGTCTCAACCAAAAAGAAAAGTAACTTTCTCAAAAGAGAAACATTACAGTACAATGAAAATAACCCAGGGTTGAAAGCCAGTCCTCCCATTTACTTCCTGTGTGAACTTGGAAGTTCTTTAACTTCTCCAGGTTCATTTCATCATGGGGAAAATAACAACACTTACCTCATAGGGCTGGTGTAAATGCTAAGGGAGATAACACATGTCAAACAGGACTGTGCCTGGCATACAGTAAGTATTCAACAAATGGAAATGAGGCCTATTTCTGAAAGTTGTTGACCAAATGCAAGGTTAGGCTGGCTGGTTGGATGATTACATCAGAAAACATGTTAAATACTTTGCAGTGTGTTTGGTTCATAATAGGTCATCAATGAATATTAACTTTCCTCCCTTTCCTGCAATGGTACACAAATTATAGAGACTTCAGAAACCATCCAATTCTATCAATGTGGCCAAGTTTCACTGTACAACATACTTACCATTTAGGTAATTTAAGCTTTCCGTTAATGCTTCTGGTGGCTCCCCTGATACTTTGCTGTCTTTGAAACAGGCACTCACTATCTCTCAATGGCAGTTGCCTCCTGACCTGGACAGAATATAAACAGAAAGTTAAGAGATAGGTAAAATGTGAATCGCACCAAGACTGAGCTGAGGGGAAAGAAGGAGACTTCCCTTTTCCTATCAGATGATATGGTCTCAAGGGAGACTACACTGTCTTTCTTAAATTAACACACCTACACAATTCCCAACAGTCTAAAAACTCTTGACATCTCATAGCTTGAGAGGGATCTTTGAAATCAACCAGTTAAATGTCCTTGATTTATGGAAAGGAACAAACTTAGAAAAGGTGAGTCACCCAACTGCTTAGGGCCAAAGCCAGGATTCTACTAAAAATAATATGTTGTAGAAAATGGGTAAGAAAAAAAACACCAGGGGCGCCTGGGTGGCTCAGTTGGTTAAGTGTCCGGCTTCGGCTAAGCTCATGATCTCGCGGTTTGTGGGTTCAAGCCCCGCGTCGGGCTCTGTGCTGACAGCCAGCTCAGAGCCTGGAGCCTGTTTCAGATTCTGTGTCTCCTTCTCTCTCTGACCCTCCCCTGCTCACGCTGTCTCCTGCTCATGCTGTCTCTCTCTCTATCTCTCTCCCTCTCAAAAGTAAATAAAACATTAAAAAAATTTTTTTAAATAAAAAAAAAAAGAAAAAGAAAAAGAAAAAAACACGAAACATCTGTGGAGTACCTACCACACCCAGGCAATATATTTTATATATGTTGTATACAAGACAGTATTATACAGGAGCATCTTGGTGGCTCAGTTAGTTAAGTATCTGACTATAGCTCAGGTCATGATCTCGCAATTCATGGGCTCGAGCCCCGCATTGGGTTCTGTGCTGACAGCTCAGAGCCTGGAGCCTGCTTTGGATTCTGTGTGTCCCTCTCTCTGCCCATCCCCCTCTCACGCTCTGTCTCTATCTCTAAAAAATAAACATTAAAAAAAAATTTAAGACAATAATCCAATAATATTACCCCCAATAAAGAATCTAAATTTCAAGAAGTCAAGCAACTCCTCCAAGGTCTTACAGTTTGAAAATAAATGGTAGTCAGGATTTAAACCCACACCTAACGCAAAAGCCCCTTCACCAGGCTGACTGACTGTTGCCTTCTATATGTGGGTCTCAAAAGGGCCTTGAACAACCTAATATTAGAACCAAGCACAGCATTTCTGTCTGCAAACTTACCCCCTGGTTTTGTAACGAACATTCTACTGGAGACCCAAAAATGTCTACTAACCCACTGAATATTACCCCTAAAATTTCAGAAGAATTACTGGATGTGGAAGATATGGGGCAGGCAAACTTTTATCTATCTAAGTCTTGCCAAAGAATGGAAAGATATCTTCTAAGCTGGAAATAAAGCTTCTATACCTGATCTTATATGCAAACTATCCCCCTTCTTCTTTCGCAACTCCCCATCCCTCCCTTACACATCACACAGGCCACCATGTGACCTCCTTCTTCCAAAGCTGTTGTTCCCCTTTAATCTGATTTTACACCTCCACTACCAAACCCATAACATATATACAGTAGAGTCCAACCCCACCTCTATGCTCCTACACAGCAAAGCAAGAAAGATGAGGTGGGGCGCCTGGGTGGCTCAGTTGGTTAAGCATCTGACTTCGGCTCAGGTCACAATCTCACGGTTCATGGGTTCGAGCCCCGCGTCGGGCTCTGTGCTGACAGCTAGCTCAGAGCCTGGAGCCTTATCTTCAGATTCTGTGTCTCCCTCTCTCTCTGACCCTCCCCTGCTCATGCTGTCTCTCTCTCTCTCAAAAATAAATAAAACATTAAAAAGAAAATTAAATAAATGTAAGATGAGAGCCTTAAACACTCAAGCCAGTAGACCAGAAAAGAACTGGTGACAAGCAATGAAACTAGAAAAAAAAAGTAGGAAAAAAGATCTATACCAGGGTCAGCTCCCAAGGGATGGCTTGAGTGGATGTGGGAGAAGTTTTAGCTCTCCCCAAATACCCTCCCCTCACACACACTTCTTAAAAAGTATTTAATGTATTTAAACAGCTATTTAAACTTAAACAGCTTCAGAACTAGTGCACAGGCCTTCAGTCTTGCAGCTGTCTCTTTTCCCCCTCTCCACCCACCTTACACACACTTTCCTCTCCATAGCTTAGAACCTCTCCTACATAAAAATTCTGAATTCCAAAAAATGCCACATAAATCTGGTCTAGCTCCACTCAACCCTAACAATGACAGCAGCACCCCTGCAAAAGCTACTGCCCCCACCACCATATCTTGCCACATTTTCTGGCATATTTACTAAAGCCCAGGGGGGTATTCCCTTCCAAACAGGATAGAATGCACTGCCTAAAATCAAATGAAAAGGAACTCCTGATGATTCTGATTTGTTTTCAACTGTCTACATTCTTTACTTCTTGCACCCTTAGAATACTGACCCTCTGTCCCCAGAACAAGACGATGACTGTAAACATCCTCAGGCTCTTTAGTGCTGCCCCTTCAGAGAGCTTTCCACCCTGGGAGAGCCACCCACACCACTTCCTTCTGGCACCTCTTCTGTTCCTTCTTGTTAACTTCTGGTGAAGACGGTGGTGGTAGTAAGAGTATGGGTGGGTGTATCCGTCTCTGTCTGTCTAGAAGCAGAGATGAAAAGATCCTTACAGATCACAGAGAGTCTAACTGCCTCATCTGCTAGAGGAGAAAGTGAGTCCCATGAAGAAGAGACTGATTCAAGGTTGGAAAGCATGTTAAAGTGAGCATGGTTGAATCCACCTGAGGTAATGAGCCATCCTGAAAACAGGTATCAGCCATTCTTATTTGATTGCTGAAGAATGAAGCTCTCTTAAATATGTATCACTTTTGTTCCCAAAACACTTTGATAATGCAAGTAGGTAATTGTGGTTCTAGTATGATCCCCCAACAGATAACAACATAAACTCTGGATAAAATGCAAATAAATAAATAAAGTCTGAAGTGAACAAAGACTGGCAGATTTTGGAGGGAAGTAAAAAACTGGTAGAAGGGGCTGGGATGGGACGAATTTTCCATTTTTGGAGCTTTCCCCAGAGAGGTACCCAACTACAGGGCCAGTCAAAAAACAAACCCTAGGCTTTCTCTCTGGAGGAACTATAAGACAGTGCCCAGAGCAGCCACAGATAATGGGAAGAAAAGAGAGCCAGAGAAGCAAAGTCCCAGGTGTTGAGTATGAACTCTGTCCAAATCTCTTGCTAACCCTGCATGGTGCATGCACAGGGTAGAACCCAAGCACCCCAGCCAAGGACAAAAGAACGACTCAGATCTGAACGGCCACCCCTGCAGGGGAGTCAGACCTGGCAGTTTTGAGTCTGAGTTAATTGCCTGCTAAAACAAAAACGTCAACAGAAATCAGTGTCTCCACAGCATAACATTTACATGCACTCGTGTTCAGGAGACAACCCCAAATTACATAAAGAACTAGAAAAACTACAGCCATTTGCAAGGGAAAAGAAAATTAGCAGAGGGTAACTCCAAGATGACCCAAATACTGGAATTATATGACAGGATATTAAAACAGCAATTATAGCTGAGCAGAGAAACTGAAACTTTTTTTGCTGAAAGTGGAAATTTCAGAACAGAAATTGTAGCACCTGAGACGACAACAACAAAAATCCTCTGAATGGGCTTAAGAACGGAATGGAGATGAGAGAGAAACAAGTTCGTGAAATCTGCAGATCAACAGAAATTATCCAGAGTGAAAAACTCTGGGTCATGTGCCGTCTCTAGAAGAACCACCATCAGCCCTTCACCTGAGCATACACAGTGATTACTTTCTGTTACCAGAGAGAACCAGAATAACTAAGGATCACAGAGATACCATTAATCTGTGATTCTGTTCGAGCAGGCCACCCCTCATATCTACTAATTAACTTTTTGAGGTCTTCCAGATATAAGCAAAGAACAAAGTGTGAAGGTGGAAAATGAGAGAGTGGGATAAAAATTTAAACATGAGATAACCATAATATCCAAAGTCCTAGGAGTCAAATCTAGTGCCCCACTGTGTCTACGGAGAAGCAAGAAGACCATCATTTTTTCCCCTGAAATTGCTGAGGCAACATTCTCGGGCAGAAGAAAAACAAGGAGGGATTTTAAATGTTGGGTTTTTTTCCCCTATCCTATGCAATCTCTTCACCAAAAAGCCAACCTGTAAATGAGCCAATGGAAAGATGAAATGCTACCAATCAGTAGGTTTGAGGCTGAAGAGTGCCAGCACCTTGGTGAGAGCCAAGCTGGTGCCACCTGGTTGATAAAAACCTGAATGCCATCCCTGACCAGTTTCCTACACTCAAGTCACTTCATGCTGGAGTTCAAGACATTTCAGGTAAAAGCAGAGGGAAAAACATAACCTGCAGAAGAGATGTCTGAAAGCCTTGCCTTCTCATCCCCCTCCACCCCGTATCACCTGCCCACAAGGGAGGAGGGTCCAGACCAAATGGGAAACTGGTAAAAAGAAGAGGTGCCCTCTTAGCGTGAAAAGCCTTGGACAAGTTCAGCCACTGACACCTCAGACAAGACTTTTATACTCTCTGGGCCTCAGCTTCATTAGTCTGAAAACTTAGATGACATGATATTTAAGGTCCTTTTCAATAACAACATGTATGAACCCTTACCCATATTGTTTCCGTCTGCCCTTGAAAAAGCTATAAAAAATAGATCCCAAAAGGCAAAAGTGGAGATATGCCAATTCATGTGATTTACTAGAATAGCTCAATTATTCAATTTGTTACAGAATAAATTAAGTCTTGTTATTAATTCTTATATTAATAACAGATTTCAATACCTATCTATGATGGAGGGCTGCTAAAATAAGTTCTAATTCTCCCAGGATATAACTTTTTTATCCGTGTAACTCTTGGGATAAGAAGGCAGATACTCTTATCCCCCCATGACAGATGAGCAAACAGATTAAGACCTGTGACTCTTTTAGGAAGCTAATAACAGAGACAGGACTAGAATCCCGTAATCCCATCTCTGAGCTTCAGGGCTTTTTCCACCTTACCAAAGAAACATTACTTAACTAAGAA